CTAAGTTTTAAAAGCTCCGGTATTTTGAAAATCGTGGGCCTTAGTAGTTTGGGATTGACTTTAACTTAATAAACAAAACACAACCATCTAAATATGGTACTTTTTATTAAAACAAGATCTGTTTTCAAACTTGGTGTTTTGAGGCAACCCTCAGTAACGTTTGCAATGCCATTTGGGATACAAAGCAAAAACGTATTTCGTGTTTCATTGCTTGCAGAGGAGGAGGAAGCTGTGCCTCAGGAATTTGACTTCATCCCCCAAAACATCTGATGCTTATTTTGCATGTGAAATTTTGTGAAAATTACGTGGATATATACATGAAATATTTTTAATGTACCTGTTAAATTCTGTGTTAAAAACGTGTGTCATATGTGATTACTTTTTATTTATAAGCACATATGTAAAAGTGCAAATAGTGTTTTCATTTATTGCTTTTCAGGGGATATAATTTTCAATGCCCACTATCCTGACCTGCCACCAGATTTTATCTTTGGAGAGGATGCTGAATTTTTGCCCGATCCTTCTGCCTTGCATGTAAGTACTGTACTGTTTAAGAATTTTACACCATGCAAACTTGACTTTTTTGGAATAGCTTCAGCAACAGAAATTTTCCAACAACGCAAAATAAAGAAGAAACCTGCCTTTTATCTCACTTTTATGTGAGCATAAACACTTTGTTTTCTAATGTGATTTAAAGTTGAATCCATAAATGGCAGTGTGGTGTGTGTTAAAGCATTTTAATCAAGTCAGTATTACCTTTACAATAACTATTCAGAGTATGTGTTAAAATATGTCTATTTACTATGTGACTATCTTAAATGTTCTGTCTCGGAAAAAAAAATGATTGATAAATTGTCTTTAAAAAGCATTTATTTCTAAAAAAAAAGGCAGCATAATTTTGTGTAACGATGTCGATTTTAGTTTTCTTATGAGGAAGCATAGAACCAGGTAGTATGTTATGGCAGCCACTGCATATATGTATATAAATTATATATATTTATAATATGTATGTGTGTATATATATGAGATCTTTAATTTTATAGGCTGTGTGTAGCGATATATAGGAGTCACTGATAGAAACATGAACCTGGGAAGCCTCTTTTAATTGAACTTCTCTTTGCCAAGGGGAGGGGCTCTTTCCTCAGTCCTCTCTCATGCAACCCCTTTTATGCTTTATGATCATGTCTCCAGAGCTCCCCAGAGTAAGTCAGAGGCTGTCGTGCCGTGTTACAGATGTCATGGTGGAGAAGTGTGAGGCAGTGGCCTCAGAATTGAACACGTCCTTTGATGTGTGACATGGCAAATGCTGGTTTTTGGTGTTACCTTTATTCATTTCATAGTAAGTTATATATAAAAATCTTTAAAGTATTAATTTGAATAATTATTTTGAGCAAACCTAATAGAATGTTTAAAAGGTGAATGTCAGATTTCTTTTCTTTCCCTGATCGTTTTCCTCTTAAGCTCACAAACTCCTTTGGGAAGGAGGTATGGTGCCAATGAGCATCTATTTCATTAGTAAAGGTTTTACTTCCTATGACAATTCTAAAATTGTTTTCACACTCCTTAATTTAGCAGTTCTATTTTCTTCTTTTGTTTCACATTCTCACAACCTCCTGAGAAAATGGTCATATTAGCAACCACTGTCTGCAGTTGATGTTAAAGGAAAAGGAAGACTTCTTAATGTACTGGAAAACTGAAATAAATAGCAAATGAGATATGAAATAAAGACAATTTTGGGCATCTTGTAGAAATGCTGTTCAGATGGAGAAGCTTGCTGAGAGAGGTATGGTGCTGCATTTCTCATATGAAAAGGAGGCACTAGCAGTCACGATCCACAGGCAAACCTGCAAGAATAGAAAATCCTTATTTTTCTTTCTTTTTTTTTTTACATTTTTTCTTTAATGATGCTACTTTGGGGCGTGTTGCTTTTCTGCCTAAGCACAAAACAAACTTCATGTTCTCTTTGTTGGAAAGCGACTTGAAGAGCAATTTGCTGCTCAGGCCCACTCAGGCTTGCCCAGGCTTGCCCAGGCCTGATTCCTCCTCAGATCCAATTAAGGTCAGTGAGGGGTGGGTCAGGCTCGTTAGCAAGTGCTAGGGGAGGCTATATAAGAGCCTCCAGGAGGGCTACTTGGTCATTTGCTGCCCAGGCTTTTCCAGGCTTTCCCAGGCCTGATTCCTCCTCAGATCCCATTAAGGTGAGTGAGGGGTGGGTCAGGCTCGTTAGCAAGTGCTAGAGGAGGCTATATAAGAACCTCCAGGAGCGTTAGCAAAGGTCGCTCACCCACCCCACAGGATCAGACTAACAGGGCTGTGGCACAGCAATTTCAAGGCATTTCAAGCAGGCAGGGCGCAACCAGCTCCCACTTCTCGTAGGTGAGTGTGCTTTTTAAAGCTAGCAATGGTTTCCAGAAAAACAAAAGCTGTTACTGCTGTTAATACTAGGAGTGTGTGTGCTCAGACACTCCCCTTGAAGAAGGATGCAGCCACCCAGGTCTCTGGGTGTGCTGAGTGTCTGAGCCTGGCGTTGGTACCGGAGGATGGTGTAGGAGGTAGCTGTGTACGATGCGAGCAGGTGAGTGACTTGCTGTGCCTGGTAGCAGAACTTAAGGAAGAGATAGAGAGATTAAGGTGCATTAGGGAGAGTGAAAAGGAAATTGACTGGTGGAGTCAAACCCTTTTGAACCCTAAGGAAGTCCAACAAGAGACAGCCAAGCCCTGCCCCTCCTGCCCTAAGGCAGATGGACCAGACCAAATAATGGGGGACAATGGACACAGGTCCCAAATGGGAGAGGTAAAAGAACTCTCTCTTGACCCCCATCACCCCCCAGGGTGCCCTTGAAGAATAGATATGAGACCCTAGACCCAGACAGTCAGGTAGAGGACAGCCAAGAAGATATCTCTGGAGAGCATCCTGGTTCGGCCCTGTCTAAAAGACGGATTACAACCACAGGTATAAAAAAAA